CTTTGGTGGAGCTTTTTTGGGGGATTGTGTTGCAGCTGCCGCAGCCATCGCCGCTGGGCTTTGCGTAAATGTTCTAGCCACATTTCCCATTGTGCCACACCCCCAATCCGCAACCCAACACCCAGCACCCAACACCCACACACATGCAAGTGTCAAGTGCATTATGTGTCTGTCTGTGTGTTTGTGTGTGTTTAAAGTTAAGCGTAGCATGAAAGCACTCCCCCTATTCCCCTGATTGTGTTTGCTGTGAAAATGCAGAACAAATACACCAAAAACAATCGGGTAAAAATAAACAAGCGAAAGACCTTAAATAATAGTTAGATACAATCAGAGGGGAAGCGGTATCTCTGGGGATAACAGATTAAGTCATCCTTAAGAGAGGGAAACAATTACATAGTTAAATTCAAGGGGGTTAGCCCCTGGGGATCATGGATTAAAGACGAAACCACACTGAAAGAAACGAATACAATCAGCATCTTGAGCAGAAAATTCAACAAATAAACTTGCATAAATATTTTACATATTTTCATCTTTATATTCGTTACAGTGATAGTTTGGTGGGTCCAGTCCCCCAAGTCCCTCCCAGTTCTGTTGTATTTTATTGTGCGTGCATCCCATGCGATGCATATCTAGCATTTATGAAAGCATTTTTCCATACCGTTGGCTTGGAATATTTAAACATTCAAATCTTACACACAGCATAATTTTTATTTATAGGTGAGCTTGGTCATAAATATTCCGAATGTTGCCAGATATAAAGCACAATGTCGATTTTCTTTCAGATAAAAACTATTGCCGCAGTTCAATTCACTTTAAACTCATTATACTTTATTCAGTTGATGCGATTTATGGCATCTAAACCTGAAGACCTTTAATTTCTGCTGCTATCGGTAGTATTTGTTTCAGCAATTAAAATTATGAAATTGCCAACCATTTGGAAAGTAGATCAGAATAGTAGAATAGGGCATGCCCCACATCAGAGTTTATTACCCTCTGGAGGGTATGTGCGGATTCGGTGTACCAGCCTTAAGTTTATGTTTCGACTTTATTTATGTTTGCACTTCTGCTTGGGACATGTAACAAATATTATTTTCAGCAAATGCTCGACTAATTGTTGGCTTTTCTCGGCTCTCGATTTTCTATTCTCTAGTGGGAGACACGCGCAGACATATGCATATTTGTGACCCATTTAGTGATTTAGGGACTGTCCGTGAAGAGCAGCAGAACACTGGCAGGGCTGGCTGGGCTGGCAGGACACAAGGACAAAAGGCCAGAAGAAGCAGCAGGAATGGAAAGAATATCATTTTTTTGCGGTTAGCTTTAAAGCCGACAAACATTTTTTGGGCTGCCATTTGGCATTCGGGGCCATAAAATATTTGATTTGTTATGGAAATTGCATTTGGCGTTGAACAAATACACTTTTCCTACACACCCTCCTCTGTGCATATTTATGTATATGTATATATTTTTGGGAAATTGTTTCCCTGCCTGTATAGCCATGTATCCCTGTTTGATTGTTGCTTTTTATGGTTTCATGGTCCTCCCCCCCAGTCGCTAGCACTTCGAACGAATGCAATCAATGAATGTGCGGCTATGGTGGGCTGTAGCAGGCGTGGCTTGGTCAATAATTTTTAATAAAATTACAGAGTTACAGCAGCAGCAGCAGCAGCAGGAGTAGCAGCAGAAACCGAGAATTCAGGACAAAAGCAAGAGACAGGAGCTTGGAATTTGTGTTCATGCAAATGATTTCTGAATTTCAATTGGAAAACCCTTCCCATTCAATGTGCACTTTAAAAGCCCACTAATGGGTTACTTTTCAGCAATGTTTCTACTAAATTGAAACTGCAAAACTGGAAAACTCACCAGCATACATTCTTGTGCTTTGAGTTTATTTGCCAGCTTTCCATTCGAATGAGCAGCAAAGAAGATTACATTGAATGAAATTCCTTACCAACATTTGACTCTGTTCATTTATGCAGGAACTATTAGGGATGCAATGAGGCATTAAATAAGATCCAAAGTACGTACCACTGAAGCTCCATCTCTGCTAAGAGTGCGACTGTTTCATGTTCTGTTTGAAAAGTTCTCAGGCATATTATTATCTACACTCGTAGTGCTCTGCTGTATGAGCATGAGTGTGCGTATGTGTGTTCTTTTAGTTAAATAACTACACCATATCCTGCTGCTTCAGACACTCCTCCCAGCCTCTTGTGTGTTGGCTTGGCTGGCTGACATCATTCCTATCTTGTTTTCAACTGCTGCTCCATGCCCATCCTGTAAATGTGCCTGTGCCTGTGCCTGTGCCTGTATCAATGTGCCTCTGCCTCTGCCTCTGCTCTCTGTGCTGTGTGAGTGTAGGTGGTTTTGGTGCTTTCCTGTTTTAGTTAGTCGCATATGTGAAGATGGTCAAGTTCAACATTCAATTAGAATACATTACAGGCTCAGTGACATGCAAACACAAACTGTCTGCCCCTGTCCGACCCCTCCCCAGGAGTGCTGGGTGTCAATGGGTAAGCGAATGGGTCTGTGGCTGTGCTCTCCACTAAGAGCAGCAAAACTTTGAGTTCTGCCACACAGCCACTGCCCCCACATCCTGTCCGAGTAGTTTTATATTCATATGCATATTTTTAGCAGAGGCCAAAAGAGAGCAATTCCAGAGGCCAGGCCTGGGGTTAGGTGTGTTGTTTAAAGAGCTTTCCAAGCACTTTAAGTGCCTCCGGCCACCACCATCACCACCACCATCCACCCACTGCCGCCGCCCTGTTTCGCCTTCTTGTACTGTTTTGCCTGCTGACAGACCCGAGCTGAAAGGTATACTGATTCTAACAGAGAAGAAAGCCATTCTCTTTGGGCGTATAAATGGTTCAGTTAGGATCATTATATAAGCATTGATGTATCGTGGGGACAATCTGCAGAACTTGAAGTCTGACTTCTTGCTGCGATTTGCTGAAACTGTTTTCGATTGCAGGGTATCGGCATCACAGGCTCACACTCTCTCACTCTCGATTGTGGCACTTGTCAGTCGGTATCCTTGGGTGGCTCAGCCCATCCTCTGGTTGCCTGCTTTTCGCCTGTATTCTCTTTGCCTTAACATTTTTATGGCCTACACAGCCGGTCCATGGTTATGCCCCCCAGTCGGGCCATGTGTTTCAGTGTTCCAGTGTGTGTGTGTGTGTATTTGTGGAGGGTTTTATGACTCTGTTATGAAGTTTGTTAGGTGTAAATTTGATGGGGTCGAGGCCGGAGACAGACAGCCAGAGGGAGAGAGAGAAAGAGAAAGCGAAAGATTGAGAGAGAAACTATATTGGGCGGCACGCTTCCCCCATTCTACTCCATTTCCGGTCTCATTCTCACTCTCATTCTCGGGGCTTAATTGCCAAGTCGTAGGCAACATAATTTATGGCCTGCCATACCGAGTTATGAAACACTTTGGGCTAGGCCTTAGAGCGGCCGCCGCCAGGAGCTGCAATGGGGCAAATCCAAGTAGCAAGTGGTCCTGGAAGAGCAACAGGAAGTGGCGTGGAAGTGTAGGAAGGGGAGTGAGGGGCATAGCAATGCCAGTCGAGCAAATTGAATACAAATTCGCTTACAACTAATTAGGCAGAAGGATGCTACGATGCTTCGATGCTTCGGGAGAGCAATGGAAATACTCGTAGGAGGCCACAGGAACCACAGGAGTCGGACCCCAAAAACCGAGCACACAGGCCAGGCCACACGTTTGCCCCGAAAACTTTAATTTGGTTAAGCAAACATCAGAGGAATGTATGGTGCGGGAAACGGAAGGGGAAGCGGAAGGTTCGTACGTGTAGGGCTGCGAATTTGCCACAAGGTGTTGCATTCACATTTTCGTTTCGCTACACATTCTCTCACACCTCAGGGGCACATTTCACTCTTACTGATTGGAAAGAAGAACAAAGGAAATTCCATAACGTGCTGCACGGATGCTTCTGCCCCGGGGATGGGGCAAGCAAGTCTCTCTGTCTGTCTCTCTGTCTGTCTGTCTGTCTCCAACACTTTCTCTAAGTGACACGTCACAACTTGGCCAACGGGTTGTCGGAGCAGGAGAGCGCGAAGGAGGGGAAAGGATGGAATCCAACGGAAATTCCATCCTGAATCAGCATTCTCCTGTAGAGGGCGAGACAGATGGAGGTTCGCGGAAAAAAACTGCAGGACATAAAAATGTTTAGCGAAGGAATTTTTCAAGCGTTTCCCCAAGTCAAGTCTGTCTCCCAATTGTTTCAATTACAATTATCCCACTTGGAAAAATACACAGGGCTACGAGTTTGTCTATTCCAAATGGTTATATTTATTGCTGTATGCCAAAAGGTCATTCCATGTATTCATCTTCAGGTGTAAATATTTAGCTGCACTCGAAATCGCAGGGCGCATTCGTTCCGATTTCGAGGCAGATGTGGAAGCTGATTTTTCGTGCACAAACAAATTTGAAGTCTGTCAAAGGAAATTCAATGAAGTACAAAATAAAAAGAGAATACATTTTGTTTGGCTCTTACCTTTTGTGTGCAGTTTAGGCTCGATATTGATATGATATTTACACAGGAGTAAGTCGCATCGCTGCTGAAGTCGGCCTTCAATCATCCAGAGTGTCACTGGCCTGTTCAATTTGGACGAGAGTGTGCCAGCATACAGATTCGCGTGAGTGCCACAAAGGATGCCTCTGTGGATTTTTTGATTAATAAATTTGTTGCTGTTGTTTGTTATAGGAGGTCTGAAGGAGCGCGAGGCAGCCCTGGCCGCGGAGCAGTCCAATAAGCATCAGATGCAGCGGAATATTCCAGGCATGTTGAATCCTCACGAATTACCCGAGGATATGCAGGATGAATAAAGAGGGTCCGGATGACTTACCCCCCAATTAGCATGTTTTAGTTGATGCTTGATTGAGAACGATTCAGATTCAGATTCAGATACAGATACAGATGAATATTGACGTACGAGTGTTTCTCCATCGAGAGTGAGAGTATAAATGTTTGTTTAATTGAATGAATATAAGTACACAGAGAATGTGTGTCGTTGGAGTGTTTTACACATATAATAGTGCAGCATGTAAAATGTTGGCAGCCTTCAGACCCGATTACATTTTACCTGCCGAGCTGTCAAAACAAATTATTTAAAGTACAGCAAAGGAAAAGCAACGAGCCAACGAATTACCTTGCGAGTTTGTGTTCAGTTTTTGGTACAGCTCTCAGTCTCTTTGTTTGTTTGTGTTCAGCCATAGGCACAGCTCTTAGTCGTCCTTCATGTCCTTTGGTGTGTGTAATTCTAGTTAGTAATTCGTGGTGTATTCAAGTTTATCCCATTCACATCTGGACTTTTTGCATTGTAGTTTGTTTTTGTGTAGAGGACGACTGAAGGCCGCAAAAATAATGGTTTAAGAGCACAAAAAACATAAACCCATTCAGCGCTTACCTTTGTGGAGTTGTGCCTATAAACCAATATGTTAATTGTGTTTTTGGTTTTCAGAACTGCCACTCAGAAGCCATCGTTCTCGTTGAGCTGCAGCTCTGGCGACAGATCGGTGGTGACCGCCATGTGGGCACCATCACGGTGCATCCTGACCAGGAGCTTGGCCAAATTTCTGGCATCAGCGATGCCGGAGTGGGCACGTCCCCGGAATGTGAGGCGCAGACGGGACAGCGCTTTTTCAAAGGTATAGGGAAAAAACTTGTAGAAGGAGCGGTATATGGCCTTGGCATTCATCCACTGATCGAAGCAGCTGGGCTTGCGCATTTTCTTGCGTTCACACTCCTTGACCAAACAGATGCCAAAGTCCCAGTTGGTCCAGGTGACAAGGATGCAGTTGCCCTTCGGATTGGTCTCGCTCATCTTCGGCAGCACAAGGTTGCGCACCTTCAACTCCTTCTTGAGCCAGTCGATGAATCGATTGAGCGCCGACTGCACCGTCACACCGGCATCCACAGTCCTCTGCTGTATGCCCGTCAAATTGGTGCAATATTCGCTCAGTTGTGGCCTTTCGACGGGCTTCACGTAAGTGTGAAACTCGGCCTCCACTTTGCCCGTTTTCAGATTGACCAAAACGGCTGGAAATTCAATTATTTCCGATTTACGTAATTCCTGAACCGGTTGATCCTCAAAGCAGGTGGCCTCAAAGTCCACGGCAATGGCATGCGTATAGCCATGCATCGTCAATCGTTAAATGTTACGCGTTTTATTTTTTATTATTATTTTTATATTCTCTAAATTTATTCTCTAGATGTGAACGAGTGAACTTCCTTTTGGTTTATGGTCCTGTTTATGTAGAAATGTCTAAGGCCCTTGATAGAGACGTGTCGAGGCCTACTTGTGACACTCTGTGCTACAATTGTCATCTAATAAAGCGCCCAATCAGTAATCGAAGCCGTCACAGGCTTTCACGTCAGCAAACTTCCCACTGGAAATCGAGAATGGCGCCCCTCTCACTTTCACTGCATGACTTTCCCCTCCATCGATCAGGGATATCCCAACTATATCCTCTATGCATGACCCACAACTCATCTGCAGCTCAAGGTCCAGCGCTCCTCCACTCTCCGACACCCTTTCCTAGCATTGACATTTGTGTGGCACGGTTTTTGGGAGCAGGCAGGAGGCAACACGCGGGCAGACACATGTCTCGCCTGGGGTAAATGTCTGCGATGAGATTTTGCTCGTTTGATGTGTGATGTGCTGATGATACATGATAGTACCTGAAGCGTGTCCTTGCACCACAAACCGCCCGCTCCCTGTCTATTTGTGTGTGCGTTTGGATGGATGCTTTTTAAGCGCTTCCTAAACGTTTTGACTTGGCGTGACCCATTCATAGACGAAGAGCGAAACATTTTGCTGTTGTTGCTCCATGGTCCATGGCCCGAGGGATTTTATGGTCTTCAATAATAATGACAAATCGGTTTACCCCAAAACCTCACGTATGGCTGTGTCCCTATTTGTGTGCTTGTCTGTGCGACAACGTCCACATCACGTTCAGTCACGAAATGAGTCGATAAAGGCCAAAGGCCGGGACCCTAAAAACGTGAATCTCGGTGAGAGCTATAAAAGCCAAAAAAGATATAGTACGGGCATGTCGCCCTATAGATATGAGGCTTATATATTGTATGTTGGGACACGGAGACAAACCAGCAGCAAACGCAGCGGCAGAGCCATTCATGCATTTTGTCGCAATGTCGAGCCGAGTGGGCAGACAAGATGCCAACGAGGAGCGTTGCCTGCAGGATAAACGAATTGGGAAGCGGGCCATTGGGCGGTTTGCCAGAAGGCGATAACCTTTATGGCTGACTGGGCAATGCCGGACCGGACCGGACCGGACTGGACCGGACCAAGCACATATGCAGCAGGCCACTACACTACCAGAAAATGCCAGAAAACTGTTTTGTGGGAGAGCGAAAGCGAGTGAGCCTCCAGTCATTCACTCATTCTTCTAGCCCATGCGGAATATTCATTCATTGATTCAAGCAGAACTGTAGGACCATGCACTAACATGGAAACTATTCAGATATTTCCCACTATGCTAAGGGGAAAATCAATTTGGTAAAATCAGGAATATTGATTGTGGCATGTTGGGGGTCCCTTTTCTGAGATATATTTGATATCTTTGTTATGCTTATTTGCCTCATTCCATCACGAGCCGAGGCTGCCATGGTGATCACTTATTTCTCCGCGTGCCTCAAGCACTCACTCATCCAGTGAGTTGCGCCCGGGTGTGTCTGGGTTGTCTCTGGGTGTCTGGTCCGGCATTAGCATGTGTCTTGGGCCGACAATGTCAAAAACTGTTTATGCTCCAACGCCTTTGCACAGTTTCACAGTTTGCCAACACAATGGACACCCCACCCACACCCCACAGCATGTAGCTGGGATGTTGCCTTAAACACCATATTTATTGGCTTGCCACACACACAAACACAGCAGGATGAGTGGGCGGAATGGAATGGGAATGGGCTGGGATGGGATGGGCTGGGATGGGGACCCAACGGAGCTGAATTGAAGCGGGGATCGTCGCCAGTCAACGATGCTGGCGACTTTTCACAGCTGACATCTCAATGACACTTTCCCTTTTGCGTGTGACCATCTAGGGGGTACACATCCTCATGCAAGGGGCATTTGAGCAGGTCAATCGATTCGCTCATTTGCTGTCTGGTGAGCCTCAACGATCCTTCTGCTGTCTCCCTTGGGTATCCCTTAGCTGGGAGCTGCCTGCACTTGGCGCCTGTTTGTTTTCCTTCACGCTTGGCAACAACACTGCCTGCTCCCCTGTGCCAGCCACACAGTGACTTCGGGCGCTGCGAATCGTGACGAAAAGGGAGAGGGACAGGCAGGGCAGGATAACCCCCCTGCCCTGCCCTGCACATAATTGTATCTGGTGCGTTTGTGTGCTTTTTTTTGCTTGTTGGTTTCTCGACTCTGCACGGATGATGGATGTTATGCAGATGGACGATGCTATCCGGGACCCTACGACGGACAGCTGTCACAACGTGTACCGCAGTTTGTCATTCTCTTTTCCAGAGCAGCCAGTGGGGAGGATAGAGTGAAACTGCCTGGCAACGTGCTATCGATAAGTGGGTCGATAGCGCGGACATGGCTGAGTAATTTAGGCAATCGTTGGGCACTTCGCAGTTCGGAATCGATTAGGAATCAGTGGCACGACATGACATGCCAGCCAGCCACATCCTGGCTTACTTTTTTATTAGTTTTTAATGATCCAGCAGGAAATGAGAAATGAGAAGAAGCCAAAGGAATGCCACACAGATGCTGTCTACCTCCCTGCAGCGTTTTTTGATGTTTTGTTTCAAACTTTGGCCCAACTCGCATTACACTTACGCATAATAATGGTCAGAAATAACTGGGGAAAGATTTTCATTTGCCCCACGGTTGCACATTGACAGTAGAAGGGCCAGGGCAGTGTACGTGCCACCTATTATTATTTTGATGTAGTTTTAGGGGAAAAAGAGAAACACTGGAGGACCCTCCCCCCCAAAAACGACATTCCAGTCTGAGCAATTGCGCTACGTGCTTGGGTCTGGGGAAGCTGTGGATGGAGTGCCCCTCTTTGTGCCCGTGCAATAATCGAATGGTCGTTTATCGGTAATTGTGCCATTTACCATCTCCCGAGCATAAATGTCAGTTGACAATCGCTGGGTTTTTCATTCAATTATCGCCATAATCGAAGCATTGTGCGCCATTGTCTCATTGTGTCATTCCCATTGCCATTGCCATTGCCCCATGGGCCTCTGCCTGTGCCTCCCACTGGCGGCAGTTCTTTTGCCCTGCCCGCACTTTGCCTTAGTGGCATTTTGAGCCGCTTTGTCGCCTGCTTCTCAGGGAGTATTTATGCCTTTTGCATCTTTAGTCATGGCTCGGAGAATATGGCGATAAACATGTCTGTCTGTAGCTACGTCCCATCCTGTCCTTGTGCTCTGTTCTGTTCTGCTCTGCTCTGCTCTGCTCTGCTCTGTTACATTCCACTGAATGCCAGCCCCCTGCCCATGCACAGCTTGTGGCATGTGTGGGGCTGTTGTGTGAGGAGGGGGGGACTCTGCGGGGTGGCGGTCTGGCGTTCTGGCGGCTGATAACACATAGTTACCAACATAATACATACTTGTCATACTTGCACTCGCATATCATTTGATTTACGCTTTCTGTCGCACTCCAGAAGTGATATATGTATGCCCTGCCACGCCCATGCCACCGCACAGCACACCCCATGGACATGGTGTGGCATGGTCATGGGACATCCGCCGATCCCCTCCCGCTCAGCTAAATGGCAATGTATTCAAACATTTCAGTTTCGGACTTGATGGCAGCTCAGAATCAGCCATAATTGAAAGCCCGTCACCAGCATACACACGGACACGCACACATGCTCAGCCCTAGGGATGGTACAGTGAGCCGATAGTTATTGCGATAGATCTAAAAGGCGGCCACAGGGTGGCTATCCCAATTAGCTTTCCGCTGCCTGAAGTGCTACCAGAAAATGTTGCGGGTCTGCCGCATATTGGCACATTTCCAACACTGCCGTAATGCAGTGCTGCAAAAGTCACTTTCGGCTAATGTTTGATGTTAGATACGCCGAAGTGTCTGCATGTTTTACGGTCTTTAAGTAGGTCTCTGGGTCTGTGGCACATTCGGTTTACGAGCACTGCATGATGGGAGGGAGTCTTAAATTTAAATCAAATTGTATCTACCATCTCTAGGAGTCAGCAAGGAGTCGCTACTGCGTTCAGGGATAGGAATTGTGACAGGGCTAAGGACAGCGACAGGGGGGATGTGTAGCAAGCCATTTTCAGTTTAAGTGGCAATACGATTTGTATTCTTTATGTGTGTGAATGGCTGTGGGGTGGTGGCTAAGGGTCCCCATTTGTATCGCTCTATGTATGGGATGCTGCTCACTCCCTCTGAGTGTTAGTTAGTGATCCCTGGGTCGGTCCCTTGGGTTTTATTGGATTTGCTTGTTGATTGGTTTGCAGTTTGTGTGCCCATTTTTTTAGCTCTCTTCTTTTTCTATGGCGGCGCTGATTATCCTGGGCAGCCTTGAACCACCCAACGACACAGCCATGCTCCAATTTTGAATGATGCTGTGGCTGTGGCTGTGGCTCCAGCTTTAGCTCCTTGCAGACTCCTTGCTCCTTTCGGCTTGTATTCGGGGCAGCTGACGGCAACCGTTGGAGTTTAGTTTCATTTTATTGCATATTTTTAGGAGCCGGCACATGAATGTTATGGCCTTGCCCGTAATTTGTGTGTCAGCAGCAGAAGCCATGGACAAAGGGAGTGTTGCTTCTGTGTGTGTGTGTGCGTTGCGGCAACAGCGGCAACAGCGGCAGCCTAGCAGCAAATTATGTAACTACACTTGAAATACAACTACACAATGGCCAGATATTATACATGGAGAAGGGGCGATTGGGCGAATGGGATATGGGATATGGGATACGGTGTATGGGATGGCTGAGGCTGTGGATGAGGCACTGGGACCTATGTGGACCTATAATGCATGCGCATTATATTACGGCAGAGCCTTTGTGGCCCAAACAAAACAGAGCGAACAGAGGAGAACCGAGGAGCACAGGGGCACGGGACAGATGCGCGCAACCAAAGCGACACAGATACTCGCAGTAGCTGGCCCGTGTTGATCCGACTAGAAGTTACCCCGCGCCGCTACAATAGGATGAAAGATGTTAGAGCAGCCGAAGCAACCTCTGATGGCGGGGAATCGCATTGTAAGCGTTTGCTAAT